ACGAAATATCTTTAAGCAAGCAGATGGAGGGTTTTAAATATACTATACCGATTTATATGCTGTCTTCATTTAATCGGCAGTCTTCTTCCTCCGCTGCCAAAACGCAAAGTCTGACTTTGGCAATATGTAAGTAAGCATCGAGTACGCAAGTGGTGTCTTCACTATGACAGTGTTTTAGAATGGTTAATTTTTTCCTGCTGTGATACCTAGTGTATTGGCGGTTAGGTGAACAGATTTGTGATTGGTTAAATACCTTGTAATCCATGATTTACATCAGGAAGTGTTTTAAAAATGCGAGCAACAGGGGCTCTTTGTGGTGCCATGAGTTTGATGGGGGAACAGCATCGTGATCACTTGTTGGGATGGATAATGTTTTATACCACTAAAAATATACGTATTGCCTGCAAAATATTGCTTACGTTTAGTAGTTACAATGTACCTGTTGTCAATTTGCAATAAACATCTATCTGGGAGGCAAGTTGTTAAGTGCATTTGCGAGGAGCATAATGTACATAGCTAAGACAGTAGTAATATCCTTATCCCTCGGGGAAAAACCAAGAAAATGGAGATAAAGATGCCTCGATATTTCTGCAACATGCCTTTGTCGAAAGAAATAAGCCACCTTTTGATAAAAGTATGCTGCCAAAGTATCAGCGCATCTATATCTCCATTCTCCTGCTTTTTGTCTGACGAATGATGTTATTACTACTGTTTTTCTGCAGCACATTTACGGACAATAAAATGTACTTTTTAGTGCAGTACTTCAATGTCAATATACCAGCTATTTGCTTCATATCTGTCTCGTATGCGTCACGTATGGTCTTATTTTGCCCTTGTGTACAATGTTTGCAACATATGCTGTATTTGGCCAATCAGTTCTCAAAATATATGGTTTGGCTCAATTACACCAATCATGTGGCACAAAGACCAAACAGTTCTCAGCTAATGCGCCATTACGAACATATCATGTGTCGAGTTGTGAGACGCGGAGAAAGTTTGCCGATTCGCTGTACACACTAGTTTGATGCGACTGAAAAGCTGTTCGTGGTCTCGACTAGTTTTCAGCAGAATGTTTTGCAATAATTAGTCATTGCCAGGCTTCCATCCTTGAACGGCCTTGCTTCCAGCCTGCCTTTATCTATAAATATCACTTCAGCGACCTGTTAGCCATGGCGGCGCCAAGTGGAGGAGGTCCTTCGCAGCGCAACACAAACCCGCTGCTATTCTCTGCTAGTATCGGCTCTCCTTTTGATGACATTGCATCCCCCTTGCTTGCGGCTCCATCTCCCAAGCCGGCTGAGTCCAAGGGTGAGCTTGCATCATATATGAGTTCTTGCTTTCAGTGTCATTGACTGGTATATCACGGTATAAATGCCTCAAGCTCGATTTGGAAAAATTCTGCACCTGATGCCTGCAGAATGTTGGTGTGCTGAATCTTGCTCTTGTATCAGCCAAAATCAGGTTAGGCCAAATTGCCCTAAACTTTTTGGTCAAATGGTTTGTGATTAAAAGCTAATCTGAACATGTTTGCCTGAAGTTACCTCTGCAACATTATAATTTGTTTCAAAATAGCATCTCTATGCACTGAAATTAGTGAGACCATGGATCAAACCAGGGGTTCGACAGAATTTAAGCACATGTACACTGAAGTGTACATGTGCTCAAATTGCTTTGGGGATATTATTGTCATGCAGGGCATGTTAAGTAAATCCATTTGTTCACTGGCATGAAGTGTCTTAAGACTGGTCTTAATGGGGATGGTGAATCTATCTTTATGCTGACAAATTCAGCTGTAATCCATGTTATAAACTTGTGTTTTATGAATTAATGTGATTGTTCATGATTTTTTAGCATTTTGTTTTGGCTTGCAATATAGAGGAAACATTGATTGGAACTACCATTTCCTTTTTTTGGCCATGCATCATAATTTGTTGACATTATATTAAATGATCATGGACTAAGTTGCCACATGTTACAAGTGAGCAATACATGAAAACAAGCATTACCATACAATCAATGAACCATAATGCCTTAACAAGGCCTATATCATGTGTAGGACCAATTTCCATTCAAGTTTAAAAGCAACCATATCTTTGAAACTTGCTGCCAGTACTACATCTGGTGTCACTTTAAGGTCTTGTTGCATGTTCAGTATCACATAGTTCAGTTTGTGCCAGGATGTCAAGGTGCAGTTCTCTAACTGATTGAACCATCAACCATGAGTGTGGATTATGAACTCCTTAAATCCGTCAGGGGTGAGATGTTTCTCAGTCATTTAATGCAGCCTGTTTAGCACTAAATTTAGCAATTTTTTTATGAATTAGGGAAATGGAATAGGTAGAATGCTAATGGAAAAAGTGAATGCATTGCTCATTACCTGTCATTTTTGATACCAGTCATGATTGTTACATGCTGTATTGTTCTTTTACAGAGCCACCTGTGCATGATGCTCCAACCACGGTGGCGACTGCATCCGGGGACCAGACGATGGTGGCTGCCGGACCACTGCTCGCCGGACCCCCTCCGACCGGACCTCCTCCAGCAGGACCTCCTCCGACCGGACCACCCCTCGCCGGACCACCGCGGGCTGTGGGCCCAGGGGCGGCCAACGTTTACCGCGCGGTGGGGCGGGCGCGCGCGCCGTACAGCCCCTCCGCGGTGGCCGGAGTCGCCCCGCCCGCCTCCATGTTCAAGCCGCTGGTACCGGGCCCAGCTGGCGTCGGATCTGCGGCGCCGCCGGCTGTCTTCACACCTATGGTGCCGACGCCGCAGTGGTCAGAGCCCAGAGCAGCAGCGCCGGCCGTCTTGGATGACCTGCAGCCGCACCTGAGGCGGGCGGCGGCCGCGGCGCCGGCGGTGGCGCCCCTGGTGGCAGCGCCATCAGCACCGTCGTCGGTACCGTTTGCTCCAACGCCGCACCTGAGGCCGGCAGTGGCGCCCCTGGTGGCAGCGCCATCAGCACCGGCGCCGGTACCGTTTGCTCCGACGCCGCACCTGAGGCCGGCAGTGGCGCCCCTGGTGGCAACGCCATCAGCGCCGGCGCCGGTACCGTTTCCTCCGACGGCAGCTTCTGTGCTGGCGCCTGTGGTGGGGTTGCCATTAGCACCGTCCGTACCCGTGCCAGCTGCGCCGTTGGGGCTCGAAGCTATGGCGGCGTGGTCGGCTGCACAAGCTCAAGCACCGTCCGTGGCGGCGCCGACGACCACGCCGCTGCCACCAGCGACATCTACGCCGGCCGTGGCGGCGAGCGTGGCGTCACAGTGCGCGTCGCTGCCGGGGGCGGCGCCACCGTCGCGGCCGCCTCGCCCTGGCTCCTCTCATCCACCGACGTCGAGAGGTGAGCAAGCCTTTGTCAGTGTGAGTGCCCTTTGTTGAGACACTCCGATGCGTCTGCTATTTGGGCACTATTTTGCGTTTTTACTGACCAGCTGGACCCACATATAGGATATCAGAATTATTCATTTCATTAGTAAGTGAATGGTCGACCTTCAGCCTTACCATAAAGTAATGTAGGTGCAGGATTAGCATGTGCATATATTGTCATTTACATGCATCCCCAGTAAAATCAATCAATGAGGAGGCTTTCTGGGTAGCGATGGCTGTCTCCGCCCAAGATCATTGCCTTTGGTGCGTGTTGTGATAGCCAAGTGTCCTTAGGTGTGGTCGGGTGACAACATGGTCTGCACTGCTCAAACACGGCTGTGCTACTTTGTGTTGCATGTTTGCTGCGATGGGTCTTTGTTTTAAGTGGATACTCGATGACATGACATCCTTGGACGTAATACTGCATGCCACTGTTACCTTTTCAATCTCACACATGTGCTGCAATGTGAAAGCACTTCACGACTTGCCGCATTCGGACTTCAGCAGCTTATAGATCAAAACTCACTGGTCAACAGTCGAGCCATTGCGGCGTCTCCTCGCACGATACGTGACATTGGCTGGGCGCGAGCGTGAACAGAAACATTATGGAGTTTCGGTACTGATCTGCACGTCACGACCACGCTGCCGCGCTCCGCTCCACAGCGCGCCGAGCGCCGTCATGACATACGTGAGAGCCTCAGTCGAGAGAGAGTCCGCCCACTGGCGCGTGACTCACCGGGCCGTGACACGCCCCGCGGTTCTCCCCCTCCTCCCGCGCGTGCTCCCAGTCCTGACGCAGGTCCGGGTGCGAGGGTCGCGGCTGACGGCGACCGGCGTGTCGCTGAGGTGACCGGGCCGCGTGAGTCGGTGCCGGGGCTGATGAGAAGCCACGTCAGCGGATGGTGCCCCACCCCCCTCCCCCGCCCCCGCCCCTCTCCCCCGCCCCCGGCGTGGATCGAACGCTCCAGTGCTGGGCACGGCAGCAGCGCGGGACGACCTGTCTTTTTCCTGGGCTGACGCACACAGCGGTATAAATAGACGTCCGGAAAATCGACGGCCGTGGAAATTTAGAAACATCAATGATAATTATTTTGTTGGTGGCAAGCAACGCAAAGTATTCAAAAATGTGTAGTGTGTGTGAACGGCGAATGTTGTCTTGTTGTGCCCTTTTGTTATGTTGATGCTCTTAGGTATTTTATATTTTTTGGAAGCTGTGTATGCCAGGAGAGAGAAGCCCCGACGGTCTCACTAGCTCCTGCGTTGTGAGTTTGTTTTGGCGGGACCAGAAGCGCCACTGTTGTCGTTTCGGCCGGCGTTGCCCTGGATGGGCGCGCTCGTGCCGCTGCCGTGTGTGGCGCCGGCCGGACCTGGGCTGCAGCCAGCGGCGGCTGCGTGACCGGCTTCCAGCAGCCGCAGCATAAACAGGCGGCGTCTCTGGCCGTGGCAGCGGTGACCTTTGCTCGTCAGGACGGCGGCGGCCGGCGGCGGTGCGGCCGCGCCGCCTTCTCGGCCGGGTCGTCGGTCGCGGCCGGTCGCGGCGCAGTGACCGGCGGCGGGCGACGCGGCGCGGGTCGGCGCGCGCGCCCCGCCACTGACGGTCCCGTTCGCCCGGCAGCGGCGCCGGCGGCCAGAGGGATGCGGCGCGGCGGCTCGCGCTACCAGTACGCGCCGCCGCCGGGGCTGGCGACGGCCACCGCCGACATGACGCCGTTCGCCACCCCGCGCGGCTCCATCGCCGAGCCGGGGCCCGTCGGCCGGCCCCTGCTCGACTTCGCACCACTCCCCGAACAGGTGGGTCACGGCCGCTGGCCAGGCCGCCTTGGCCTGTGTGACCTCGTAGCCGTAGCTCCCGAAAGCTCAGGTACGGAGCCGACCAACACTGGGCACAGTTGGATCTCCGGGGTGGAGGCAGACCACAGGATGGGTGGCCGGGGCTGGCAGGGTGCGACTGACACAGGTAACTGTGATACTGGTCCATGGCTCAGTGTACATGAGGGGTGAGTCTTCAGGGCCATCGCGGTACCACAGTACGAAAATGGAGCGGATTCTGGCCGCTGGAACTGCCGTGGCTTCACAGGTGAGTGCTAGTGTTGTTTGTCCCCGACGGGACCACCACAGTTAAAGCAAAACGATGCGTTGTGACCCACGGCAGGCCCGTGATAGTATACGGGTCTTCGCTCAGATGCGATTTTTATCAACTGAGTGAGTCATTAGCCGGCGATCAGCTTCACCAGTCAAACGAGTTGCATATTTGCAATCTTTAGCCGCCATCTGTGGAACTGCATTCATTTCGCTCGCAGGTCCTCGTTGAAACGGCTCGATGACTGCATAATAGTCCGTAGGAAAGAGTGGGGGGGGGGGGGGGGGGGGGGCACTGCAAAGCTGGTCTAGGCGTTGGTGGTCTGGCGTGTATCGCACAGATGCCTGCGCCGTTCCATGCCGCTGGCCGGCTCGGAAACGGGCTGCCATGTCACCTCACGTCAGGGGAATGACCTGGAAAGCTAACCGAGACGCGGACTGGTCGGTTTATGACCGCCGAATCCTGGTATGTCACAATGAGTTTGTGGTCAAGAAACCACGCGGTCTGCATCTATTTGAGCCCTCGCCGTTTTAGAGGATGGCGAGGTGTTTGCGTGATATTTTGGCGTGTGAAGGCAAGGTCTCGTGTTTCAAGAGGACATGGACTTGCGTGCTCGAGATAATAATAGGCTCGGGTTGCGATCAAATTTAACTGGCTGACGTTTTCCTTCCACGAATGAGGACCTATTCAAGCTGCCATTAACTATGCGATGTGCATGTCATTGTCTGGTGCTTTGTAGGAGTCAGCTGTGTTTATTTAGTCCTGAAATAAGTGTGCCGTCGCGTGCGGAGTGGGACGAGCAGGATGATAACGGACGTGCTATCACCACATCAATGATACGGAAGCCTCAACGTTCAGAACTATGCTCGCTTTGATAACCCTTGTAAATGGGCCTTGTCAATGATACGGAAGCTTCAACGCTCAGAACTATGCTCGCTTTGATAACCCTTGTAGATGGGCCTTGTCATTGCACTAGAAGGCCCGTCCCTAATATCTTAGTTTGATGCAGATGGGTTTAACGAGCAAGATTTACGCGCTTATTCACAAATAGCTTGGCTTGAAAGCTGGCTGGCGGGCATGGCTAGATGCGGCGATGACGTCAGAGGAAACCGATGAGGTCTGATTGATTGGTGTTTTTCTTTGATTTTGGCAAAGTTCTTCTCGAAAACGCGAGTATTTTGGATGCTTACTGGTGACAGTGAATCAGGCTTCACGGCGTGGTCCAAGTCAGTTGCGTCATGAGTGTATAGCTCGATAAGCCTCGTTCATGTTCCGTTGGAGAGCGGGTTTGAAAAAAACTGACGTCAGCGCCCCTGTAGATCACTGGCGCAGCCATGGGTCAAACAGTGTCGGGATTGTATAATGACCTCGGGGCGCTACATTCGCCTGCACCGTACGACCGGCTTCGGGTGCTCAGCCGCTGCTGTAGCCGATGTCCAACATCAGCCGCTGGAGCGCCGCAGAGCCGGCTGGGCCATGCTTGGCGCGCCGCGGCGCGGGTGACCGACTGCCCAGTTCGACCCAAGCTCTGACCATTGCCACCCCCCCCCCCCCCCCCTCCTCCTCCGCCAGACAGTGCTGTGGCGTGTCGCCGCGATCATGGGCTGCCAGAAGGTGGGCCCGGTGTCCGTCCGCGCGCTCCGACAGCTTGTTTGCAAGTAACCTGAAAATGTGAAAGATATTGGAGCACAAGCTTTAAGGAGTCACGCTTTCGTTTGTTGGCGCTTCACAGGAAGATGAGTGGTGTCAACGATACGAGTCTATTAAATTTGTGGCTCGCTGGGCCGAGCTGGGCCGGCGTGCTGAAGCTGCACTGCAGGCTGTCTGATTGACGTGTGAATGCGCCGAAATTGTCCGTTGTGCGGTAATTATCGGGCTGCGTTGGTGGGGTCGGAGTCTTCGTGACAAATGATGCTTGGCCCCGGATCACAGTCACCTGTGCAAAGGTTCCGGTGCTAAATATGCATGCATCCACATTAACACCATAAGCCATATATATATATATATATATATATATATATATATATATATATATATATATATATTAATAACACCATCGCTGCCGCCGTCCCATGGAACAAGATGCTGTCCCTGCCGCTTTACATCGAAACTGGAACCCGGGCCTGGCATTGGTCTTGTCGATTCAGTCCGAAGCGCGCCAGTTTTTGTCCATTTAAATCGAGACCTTTCAAAATGCCGCGCTGTGTTTGATAGTCATGATGGCTGTGGTCCACTCAGATCGTAAACCATACCTGAACCGACGAAGGGATACCATCTCAGGCATCAACATAAACCGAGACCTGCCAGTACCGTCAGCCAATCAAAGGAGGCCGTCTGACGACCCTTGGTCGGCTATTGTCACCTCTGTCAGTCAGGACGGCCAAGCAACGTCGCCGGTGGTGCAGCGTTGTGTTGATAGCGCCGCAGAAACAGCCGTAAGTTGGCCAGAGATGACTCAGAGTGAGCACTGCCGCGCGGTGCGTGGTGCGTGACCGTGTCTAACGAGGCCCGGGCTCGTGTCACCACGTCTGCGGCGTCGGAGTGTTGACGGGTCTGTCGACCGTCTCGGTCGCGCCCCGGACCTCGGCTGACAGGCCGGTGATGCCCGCCCGCCCGGCCACGCGCCGTCGCCGGCGGTCGCGTCTGCAGGCGCGCCGCTGCCCGCTTTGTCCGCCGGAATTGATTGACGGCATTGCGGTTGATCTTAACTGTTGCGTCCAGGCGGGCCCTCTGCGCGCGCAGTGTTGACACGAATGGTGACGGCGCCGGCCGCCACGGCCCTCCTCCGCCGCTGCCGCCAGAATTACCGCTGCGATTCGTCCCTGGGGCAGGGCCTCACGGCTGTCCGAGACGGATCCCCTCACTCTGTGGTCTGTCCCGGGGCAGGGCCTTACGGATGCCCGGGACGGATCCCCTCACTCTGTGGTCGGCCCGGGGGGTAGGGCCTCACTGCTGTCCGGGACGGGCCCCCATACTCTGTGGTCTGTCCCGGGGTTGGGTCGCACGGCTGTCCGGAACGGATCCTCGTACTCTGTGATCTGTCCCGGGGGTAGGGCCTCACTGCTGTCGGGACGGGTCCCCACACTCTGTGATCTGTCCCGGGCCGCACAGCTGTTCGGGACGGATCCTCGTGCTCTGTGGTCTGTCCCGGGGTTGGGTCGCACGGCTGTCCGGAACGGATCCCCCCACTGTGCAGTCGGCACGGAACTGTGCTTGGTCCGGTCTCACCGTCTGCCTCTCTGTCGGCAGAATGTTCTCGTACTTGATACCGACAGGGATGACTACATCACTTCGGTCACTGGCACCCTTTCCTGCTCTCCCCATACTCGTGACATCGACAGTCCAACACTCTGACGCTCTGCGATGGCGCCTGCCCGGACTGATTCGAGACAGCGCTCACCGAGTTAGCGCTACTGTCAGCGCTGCGTGCACGCTGGATATACCCGTGTGCTGCGCGTCAACACCACGTGGTTCGGCCCGTGTTGCATCGCACTGGAGGCGTAACCATTGCGGACAATGGTTTAGAACCTGCCGGATGTTAAAGTATTTACGCTTTGGTTGGAAGGAATGTGTGTCCCGTTCCATGAATGAGGTTTTTGGCCGCCCAAAGCCTGCCGTCTGAGCACCCAAAGCCTGCCGTCTCAAGGCCAAGCCCAGCCGGTTCCTGAAGCCACAAGCCGCACACTTGTCAGATAGTCTGATAATAGTCTGGCAGAATGAAAGTCATAACCGGCATACTTTCTTCACCATGCTGTCTCAGCGATGTCGTCTTGCCCTGTGGAAGCCAGGGGAATCAGATAACGGGTTGAGTAGGATAAACGGGCTGGCCCCCGATGGTAGATATCAGTAGTATAGGATTATCTATGACAAGGCAACCACATCCGACTCAACATACATTTCAGCGCAAAAATGCGATTGTTAGGGTGGTCTTCGACCGCGTCTGTGCACTCTTGCAAAGACCGGTTTCTGACGTGTATCGTTGAGTCATTGGCCATAGATTCTCCCGCTTCAAGTGTGCAGCTGACCTGTTTGAGGCGTTCTGGGGCGGAAGAGCGTGCCCGAATGTACATGCGTGCTGGTCTGGGAAGCCGGCGTGAACACATGGGCATGTGAAGCGACGTTCAAGACGATGTCCCACTCCAGCTGCCGCACTCGAATGGCGCCTTTGCTTCTCCGGGCTTGAGGGCTGCCGGCTTCCCGCTGGTGCTTTTTACTGTGGTTGAGGTGACCTTCCGTGGCGTCCGCTGAGTGTTTCCCTCCGATGTGGCGTGGGATGAAGCTCGGTCGTCCGTGACTTCGCCGCCGCCGCCGCCGCCGCCGTCGAGCGGAGCCGGCCGGCGCACCTGAGGCAGGTGTGGCGGCGCGACCCGCCGGCTGTGCCGTGCCGCGCGGGCTCAGCTGATGGCCGTGTGGCCGGCGTTCAGGCCCGGCCCGGCTGGGAGGCGGAGCGGCGAGTGTCGACCGCCGGCTCGCCGTGATTCCTTCGCCCGAGCGCCGCGCGCGGGCAGCTGGAGCCGACGGGCACGGGTGCCCCGCCGGGCTGGGCGCCTGCACGTGCGCCGTCCTCTCGCGCGGGGACGGGCGCGCGTCGCGCCGGCCGCGGCACGTGGGCTCTGGCGGCCAGCTCGCCACTGAGGTATTGATTTGGCCCCGACTGTGGCCGCCGCCACAGCACATCAGTGCCTGCAGCCGGCGGCCGCGCGTCGACGCC